CAGATAAAGTGCATCGGCAATCTAACCCTGCAGTTCTGAAAGGGTTTGGTCAACTTATGAAATTGAACATGTTTTCAAACAGGTGCATGAGATCTTAAAACGTAGATTTTATGTTGGCTGCCGCAGAGAGAGACTTTTTAATTAAAATAAATTTTTTTAAAAAAGAGCAAAAGTGTCAACATCTCCTTGAGTTAGACGTGAGAAACGCACACATACTCTCTCAAGGACCAAAGCCTTCAGTGAGGGTTTGTCAATCTGCTAATCTTGGCACATGTCAACTGCCATGTCTCTTCCATCCCCACAAACCAGGCAGAGAAAACTCGCCTGCGGTCGAGAAATGGAAAACACAGGACATAGCGGTCTCACTAACTAGCATCATCTCATCAATGCCTGACCACTAAAAGTATCTTGAGTCTATATTAGTTTTCCTGTTTTGCAAATTGCCCATGTCTCCAGCTCCATCTGCAAAGATCATCATGTGTGTGCAGCTTGGCCAACAAGAGTTTCCTTCAATGGGAGTTTCCCTCCCATATCTTCTGACTATCCACCAATCATGTGCACAGCTGACTGGTGGGACTGAGCTGGAGCTGCCGTCCTTTTAAAATCAAATATGTCTTAGCTGCGGTCTCTTCGGCCCACTGATGACACCAGAGCTGTAAGACCCCCGGATGTGAGCAGGCCAAACACATTTTTAAAAGCCTCAACAAACCATTTATCTTTCTAAGTATTCAGCACAGCCATGTTATTACACAGTATGAGCCCCATAACAACTCACTACTGACGCAGCTGAAACCTTCATAACAAAAGTGTACCAACTTTAAATGCAACACTGTGCATCACTCAGTTTTGAGAAGACACACTACCCTGTGCACAGAGGTCAATTTTTGCTCTGTAAGCTAAAGTTTAAAGACACTTTGTACATGTCTCGCAGGTTGACCACAACTAAGCACACGTTGAACTATTTTCCTTTCCTAAAATTATTTTTACACAGACTTGGCTGCCGTCAGATTTGATGTTTTCACATTTCATTTCCCACTCTCCTACTGTTACACAAAAAAAGGTTGCAAAGTGCTGATTGAGGACCATCCTGCACTCTCAGAAGACACTGCACCACCCTGTGGCATCCATGGGCATAGCAGGCCTCTCCATGAGGGATGTCATGCAGCAGAGCACTCAAAGCAAAGCACGGCTTAGCTCAAATCCGGATGTATCAACCAGAAATATAAAAAAAACAAGGCTCTCTCTTTTCAGAGCTCATGCGGTCTCTTATCTAAGCCTCCAGCTCTGCGTGATCTCACCGCGCTACACGGTCACAGCAGCCAGTGCTGAGAGAATCCTATCTTCTTGGCTCACGGTAAAGTGATACCCTTTGAGGTGTGGCCGTGGCCACAGGATATCCTATGAAGTTGGGAAATCCCTCTATCAACGGTGCTCCCCGCCCTGCTGCACGTCAGGGCTAATCAGTCCTTAAGGCCTGGTAATGAGACGCCCGCCACCACTGTCTGCCAGGCAACGCCAGCCTGAGCCCACACTAGCTCTGCTGCTCCTAATGAGTGGTAATCACCCAGCAGCTCCCCACAAACCACTGCAGGGATGCCGGCACGCACATGAGGCAGGCAAACCAGGAGACGGGAGGGGAGAGAGAGAGGAGAGAACCAAAGGAAATGTTTACATGGAGCAGCTTAAAAAACAACTTGTAACATTTTTGTGCTGTGCTGAAGAAATGAGGCTCCTTTAAAGCTTTAAAACACACTGCTGTTTGATACACACCAGGAACTAATTCAGCACAGTGATAAAATCCTTTTACAGCCGCATGCTGAAAAATCACTCCTCATCAGTAAATTTACACACATCCCATTTGTTATCCTGTTGTTTTTGGCGTGCTGCCTCACTTAATGGAGCGCTGAAAACAATAATACCATCTGAAAGGGCACCAGCTCTGCTTCAGGAACAAACTGGTGATAGAGTGTTTAAGGATATCACAGTAATTAAATAGCAAGTACTGGCAACCGCTATATTTGCTTCTTCCGGATGCTGTGGTGCCTCAGTGATTGGTAAATCCCAGCTGCATGACTGTGGGCAGCCTTCCTGTATATGTCGCACATGAACTAAATAAAAACAAACTCTTGACTCACTGTTAGGACTCACATTCAGCACAGTTTACAAGACCACAGGATGCCTTTTTACCAAAACTCAAATTTAAACCATCAGAGTCGTCTCAGATGGCACTCTGATGGGGTCGAACGAGGCAGACAAATCACTTCCTTCTCCCACAATTTTACACGACGTCTCGTCGAGGTGGTGTAATCTGTGAGGCCGAGAGAGGAAAGCTCGACGCACATCTCCGATTCAAACTCTAATGATAACGGATTTAGCAGAACCAGCACCTGCCACAACAGGCTGAGGGAAAGAAAATGAGTGCTCACATTCTTGTGGCAAAGGATGACAATTTAAGCGAGTGCTTGACTACGCCAGGAATCCCACCCCACCCTCGGCTGCGCAGACTATGGGCAGGAGAGATTGTGTTTATGTTACACTTACGCTCCACCGCACTCTGGAAATTGGGTATGCAACATTGACCCTCTATTTTGAGTAAATCAGTACCCAGGAGGCCCTAGGATGCCTCGTGCTCATGGAATATTTATTTGAACAGGTTTATGTTAGTATGTCCCGCAGTCAAAGCTGGGCAGGACTGTGCTGTGAGTGTCACCGGTGTCGAGTTTCTGGGAAGCTGGCCACGGGGCAGTCACATTCTGTATCTGTGTCACCTGTGCAGGCTCTTCCAGTATGTTTCATGTTCCTCAGCTGCAGGGCTAAATCATTCACTGACACTCATTCATATTCCCTCCTCACTGGGCCACAGAATAATAAATTGGGAGTATTGTAATACCACATGTCTCTCTGCACCACACAGGCCACAGATAGAGAACAGACTGAGAGAGGGAACTGAAAACAAGTGCTAACTGAATAAGTAAATATGCATTACCATTAGGACCATTAAGGCCGATGTGAGTGCCAATTTGGCATGTCAGACTTAATACATGCTGCCTGCCAAGGGCGACACTGCAACAGGGAGGGAGACAGAAACAGAGAGGGGGGTGGGGGGTGGGTGGGTGGGGGGTTACATTTGTCCTTCTAATGCAACTTTAGAGCTGCAATGAAACCAAAGACAGAGTGAGAGACAGTGAAAGTACTCGATATATGCACGGGCATTACAGATGATGACGTTTTACTGAGAAGGGCTGCGATATTTCCAGCATACGGAGCTATTACAGGTGCCACACAGGATGTTTGCATCACCCACTTTCCAAAGATGAGTGCCAGCACTTTGGCGCAACACCCAAGAGAACAACATTTACCCAGAGATGTGAAAAACTGGGTGTGTGTTACAACCATCCGGCTTATTCAGACAGTGTTGAATCAAGTGAATCAAGTACTTCGAAAACTGACATCCTTGTATGCTTTGCCTGTCCTTTTTTTGATAACTTTTCTTGAGACTTTTATACCTTATTTAGGATAACCTGAAGAAAGTAAAACCCACTCTAACAGGTCGAAAGGTCTAACACACCAGTCTAACGGGCCCCGAGGGGACTTGCAGGTTCACAACAGTTCCCAGATCACCTAACACTCCTGGATCCTGCACAACACCCATACCTACCATAAATTTGACTCTGCTGGAAAGGCCTCAAGTGTCATCACTCCACAGTCTACAGCCATTTGTCTCCTTGCGCCGTTGCGCTGTTTGCAGCCAAGAGGAGCACTAACAACCTCCATCAACACAGATATTTGTAGATGCTAATATCGGAAAATAAAAACACCAAGGGCTGGCTTCTGTTTAGTACACAGATGCCACCTTGACTGTTTCTTAAAGGTACATTTTGCTTTGTGGATCACAACTCTTGACCTCCAGGTGAAACACGGCCGCTCCCCCATCCGACATGCTGACCCTCATTTGAACGACCTTGGCTTCCCTGCACTGAAAATGTTCTTCTAAGACAGAAGAAAAAAAGAAAACTGAGTTCAGTGCATTAGTAGCCACTCTGAGGTGGAGGTCATAGTGGGCTACACCTAAAATCCAAGGCGTTCCCTGGGAATGACTTACTTTGAAATATACACCCTTGTGCACTTTCTAAATTAAACATTATTGTGTATATGACATGATTCATGAAACGCTAGATTTTTCAAGATTAATTTCCCCCGACACGTGTTCCAAAGTGTTTTTTAAACTTGATGGAGGCAGCAGAAAAAAAAAAAAAAAAAAACCCTGCCGGAGTTGTGTGATGTTTATGCTGGATGGGGGAATTTTCTGTGCAAGCTGAGCAGACGTTTCGGCCACCAGATTGCTTTATTGTTACCAGCTGTTGAGTCTGAGGCATATACACTCACCTTTCGCTCCGCGGCTTGTTTTGAGAGTCGACTAAGGATATGATTTTTACTAGTGCAAAATAATCACTCGGCCGCTACCTGCCATTCAAGCGAGCCAGGGGATACTTTACCAGTGGGCGCTGGCTCAATTGTCAGGGAAAGAATGGGGTGAACTCTCCTCGGCCAACATTACTCCGGGGCTGCGTTCATATACCTATAATAGATGCTGTGTTGATAGGCTATACGGTTTCGTTGCCTGCCTAGATATTTGCTGACACTGCTTGTCGCAAGAAAAATTAATTGTCAGCAGCTTGAGTGAGGCCAAATCATGTGCAGACAACCTGCTGCAGCCACCAGCTGTGAGGCCGCTGAGCGCTGCGCAACCGCCGCCAAGTGACACCCCACTGACCCGCAGACATTAGTGTGCAATCAAAACATGTGTTCAGATCAATCAAAATCAATGATCACATGTTTTTGTTTCACTTTTGCTGAACAGATTTTTTTAGCTTAGAAGGGAGTTTTAAGTTAAGTTAAAGGAGAACAAAAAAGTTGTTACCCGGCTTTGTAAATCAGGAACCAATCAAATCAATGAAAGTAGCATCATGGACATGCTGGTTATGTCTTTCAGTCCTTACCCGAAATATGCTGCGGTTGGTCCAGGCAAGTTGAGAAGATACACTATAACTGTGAATGATAACCATCCCAGGAGTAGGTGTCCATCCAGCATTTTGCTGCGGCTCCAGGGCAGATCATTTCGTTTCTCCTGAGTAGCTGTGTAAAATCCCTTGCTCAATGTTCAACACTTCTTATACAGAGAGGAGCGCCGCGCTCCTCCCATCAGCGCAGAGAGAGGGAGAGAGAGAGGAAGAGAGAGGAGGAGGGGGTGTAATAGGGTAATACATACAGAGAGTTGAACTGATTCACAATTCACTCTCCAGTTTCAGACGGATAAATCATCTCAGTTGTCCTTATTTATGATTGGCAGGACAGTTTCTCCTCTGTGGGCGTTTTAAGCACCACACTGTCAGTGTTTGTGCAGACAGGTCAGTCTGAGCAGGCCTGCACTGTATGATAAAATACTGCTTTACCTTCAGTCGGTGACAGTTTGTTTCCAGAGAGGCAAAATTCTAGCACAAGCAGCAAAATGCAGCCATCCTAGTTTATATACTGCACTATATAGGAATGTATAAACCTCAAACTTGCTAAAACTTTTTCATGGACTTTGCATTTTAAAATAGCTTGCTTATGTGTAACGGTGGAGTGTAACTAAGTACATCTCCTAAAAAGTAACTGCACTTTAAGTACAGTTTTCAATTGACAAAACAATCTCAAGGGCAACTCCACCTGCTGAGGAAGATCATGTGATACAATCAAAAGCTTCAGAAGAGCTGCTACTGTAACTGGACCTTGAGGTGAGAGTGTTGTTTCCAAGGTGAAAATTAACTTTGGAACTTTTGACATACCTGTACTTTATATAAGTAGGTTCTTAAGAAGGGTATTTCCATATTATACAAGGACATATTTCTACATTGCACAGAATTTCTTTTAGTTATTGCAGGTCAAGCTTTCACATAGAAAGCATTTGATGATCTAATAAAAATCTCAAATTGAACTAAATCAACATTACATAGTAGTAAATTAGCAGTTCCAGTATTATCAATCCAATAACATAAAGTACTCACAGGGACCATTTTTCCTGCATAACAAGTACATTAACTTTTGATACTACATGTACAGAGATCGTAAAATGTACATACAGTGAGTGAGACTTTTGAATGCAGGATTAAGATCAAGCTAGCTCAAAGTTCGTTGTACGCTTTGTATTTTAAACTAGTTCCTATGTTGTCATCTCTGTGTTGATTTCATCAGACAAAAATACATCACATGCTGCAGAAAAGGCTTCCAGCTTAGTGGATTTTGGTTAAAGAGTGTCTCCTGACGTGAAATATCAGTCTGGTCTTGCCTTTTGCGAGACACAGTGAGCAGTTCCCCTAAACCACATGGGCTGAGGTGAGTTCATCCACAGTTCACAATGAAGAGAGAAAATTAGTCCGCAAATATAACTGTAGGCAATTTCACAAGAACTGAGGACGAGACCTTTAATCACTGTGCAAAATATCATATTGAGCACCATAAATCAATTGGCAAACTATCAATCATCCTGGCAAGTAATTCGAACCCTTTGGCAGGCCTGCTCTTGAAAAATATTTACTCTTCCTACGCATTTGATTGCATAAGATTTGGAGATTATCAAAACCTTTAGTTATTGTCCTAGAGAACCTTCTCTAACATGCAAACAGTATTGACTCTCACTGTATTTGAAGGTTAGGCTACATGTTCATAAAATACATACATGAACACAGAACACACAAAACGCTTAAATGGATTCAAAAATGACTTGTTTTGGCAAATCTAATTAATCAAATTGAAGGTTAATATTCTTTGTTTTTCCATTTTAATGATTTATTTTAGGACATAGACTTAATAGAGGGTTACACTGTAGTTATTTCCAGGAACACCTCACTGGAGTGACAGTAATATTTACAGATTTCTTCTGTCCGCATGGCCAATAGATTTGTTGACTAGAGTTGACCTCTTGATTTGTAAACATTATCCACCGACTGTTCACCAGCGGAGAATGTCTTAAGTCAGGGACAACCCTACTTAACTCCTGTGTAAACACCTTTCAGTGGCTCAGCTACCACCTGACATCTTTTGTGTCCTCACACACCTTGATTTCTGGCACGTTAAGAGAGAGAAGTATCTGAACTTGGGAAGAGTCCAGGTTTTCTCAGCTACACCTGGGGAGCGCTCCTGCCAGGATTCGGGATGAAGTCTATTCATTCCCGATCTCAAACAATATCCAGCCCGTTCACCGCAGATCACAAACAGCCACTGATGGGCCAAGTGGCTTCGCGGAGGCAAGTTTCTACTTACTGTGTGTAAACAATATAGCACCTAAAATTGGAGATTAAAGTGATCAAGCTTGATAATTACAGTTGCATGTTTCATATGATAGTGGATCTCTGATGATTAGTCCCATCAACAGGTCACCAGCGTTTGTACAGTGTCTAAGCGCAAGACAGTTAGCCGAGTATGAGTCAACTTGGCTGGTTGACTTGCCGCACTGAGGAAGACTTGATTTGAAGCAAGTTTGATGTTTTGGGAAATATTCTTATTCAAGAGTTAGATGAGAAAATTGAGACTACTCGTATCTTATATCTCTTTATTGAATATAAAATTACAGCCAGTTAGCCTAGCTTAGCAAAAAGACTGGAAACAGGGGTAAGCAGCCAGCCTGGCCCTGTCAGATGGTAAGGAAATCCAGCTACCTGCCCCTCTTAAGATCACTTATTAACATGTTGTGCCTTGTTTGTTTAATTTGTACAAGAACTGTGATGCAAAAATGGCAACTTGTTGTTTATCTCCAGCAGAGACTCAACGAAGTGAAGAAAAAGTCTGACGCATAATCTCCAGTAAAATAGCAAATTTGTCATTTTTACAGTTTTTTTGTATGGGTTAAACAAACATGACAATAGCTTTAGCATTAGAGCTACTGGTGAGCGGATTTTGGTAGCTTCAAAGCGAGCCAAGCTAGTTGTTTCCAGTCTTTAAGCTAAGCTAAGCTAACCTGCTTTTGACTGTAACTTCATATTTTAATGGACAAATATGCTGTGTCCTAATTCAGCGGCTGCATCCTTCGGAGGCTGCATTTCGACTGAAAGGCTCCTTCAAATGCAGCAAAGAAATGCAACCTTCTTTCCCTGAGCAACGACAGATCCAATAGGTGGACCCAACCTATACCAAGATTCATTGTGCATCGGTAATTAGAATAATATGGCATCAAACAAATTTCAAATGTAAACAAAATACTGCTTAACTGTGTCCACACAAGCTTACTGATAGATATTTGTATAAAGTATTAGTCAAAACAGTCACAGCTAAGGTTGTAAGTCTCACAAATTTGCTTTTTGCATGATTTTACTTTTAACTTATGCTCAATATCATTTTAGAATGACACAGGTGAGCACATGAAAGCACAAGAATGCACTTTTTTCAACATTATAAGCTTGTCAGTCATTCCTAAAGGGCAGTTATTCAAAAGCTTATAGGCCCCCAGTGAGGGCCTTGCTTCTTAATAACACCTGGTTTTAAGGAGATCAGCGGGAGGGTTTGTCAGTACATGACAAGAATGGACACTAATCCCAAGCAATACCCACTGGTCCTGCATGTCTCTTGAGTGGGATAATTGATTCCCACACCCTTCTTAAAACACACTCACCCCCTCTTCTCAGACCCAGCAAGCAAGAAAACAGAGCTTGTTTCATTCTGGTGTCGAGGGAACATGGCCATGAGGACAAAAGCGTGTGGTTTTTTTTTACCAGGGCTCCTATGAGGGTTGAAGTGAGGGCTGTCATAAGTGTTGTAGGTGGTAGCAGAAATTTGTTTGGTAATGGACACTAATCTCTTTAGGCTGTCAAGAGTGTCTCCCTCCCTGCTGTTGGAGATACTACCTTACCTTCCTCTACCATTTTCTGCCTCTTGGATTCTCTCTCGGAAGCTACCATGCATATATAAGTGAACAAAATGCATTTTAGATGTGAATATTATGGAGCTTTCCGACAGCAGGCATATCAGATATCCATGAGAAAGTCACCCTTAAGGACGGGTGTAGAAAAGTCAACTTTGTTTCAGCTCCAAGTGTGACTGGAATACTCAGTTCAGATTAGAGTGTTAGCCTGCAGTGTTACATTTCTTTGCAATTACAATGAGGTTCCTCTGGGCATTGAGGTTAGTCTGTGCACCGGCTATTCAAATGAGATGGAATGTGCTGTAGGATGTTGATGGAGTTTGAGGTATTTCCTTAAAAGGAGCGATCTCCTAAAATGCATTTGCAACATTTCAATGTACAATACATATTTTTGACAAACACTGTGTCAAGGCACCTGTTGCATGTGAACATATATTTCACAAGAGATCCAGAAAGATATAGATGATTCATTTGATGCAAGACAGATTGTATCTCATTGAATGTTATGCAACATGCAGAGTTCATGCAAAATATGGTATTGCATTTTATATAAAAAGTCATTTTGAGTAAAGAGCAAAGATTAGATTCCTCCTCCCTGTCCTCAGAGTCTTATGTATTAGCCTTGGTCTGACCTTGTCTTGATATCACATCCCTGGAGAGGAATGTAAATCGTATCCGTCCAATCCCAACCCAGTTACCACCAAACTCCTCGTTCTCACCACCCCTACTCCGCTGCAGGGCCACATGATCTTTTCCATGTACCAGACATAATTTGTGGCTTAGGTTTGGAGGCTGACGGTGCGTCTGCGCCACTCTGCTGTTTCAGGCGTCGGGTGCACCATGTGCAGCAGTTCTCAGGATTCAGGAAAAGTCTGTCCTCAGGGGCTGGAGAGGTAGCTGTTGTTTTTGAATCCTCAGTACAAGCACTGTCGATCTCCTCCGCTGGCTTTACTGCATCTTCGGGAGAAAACAAATTAGATACTGCGAGTGAATGGAGATGAGATTAAAGGAGGTTAAAGGAGAAAAAAAAAAAACTTTTCACAATTCTCAGCAAAAAAAGCAGCTAAATTAAGAGAAGATGCCACCAATAAAGATGAGCTCACAGCTCAGAAGAACTCTTGTCTTATCGTGCCTCTCATATTCACCTGGTGTGCAGAAACCAAAACAGTAGTTGCAGTTTAAAGGAGGAGCACCTTACTAT